TGATAGAGTGTTCAAGCTTGAGAAATCCATTTATGGATTGTAACAAGTATCTCGCAGTTGGAATCTTTGTTTTGAAGAGAAACTCAAAGAGTTTGGCTTTTCAAGAACCAAAGATGAGTCCTTTGTGTATCTCAGGGCTAGTGGGAGTATAGTTAGCTTTTTGGTACTGTATGTGGATGACATACTACTCATGGGAAATGGCATCCCAACTTTGTAGGAGGTTAAGTCCTGTCTTGGGAAATGTTTCGCTATGAAGGACCTTGGAGAAGCTGCCTATATCCTAGGGATAAGGATATTGAGAGAAAAGAGTAAAAGACTAATTGGACTTAGTTAAAGCACCTTGTGGACAAAGTGTTGAAAAGCTTCATCATAATTCCAAACTGAGCAAAGGCTCAGAGCCCGATTACAGAGGATGAGATAGCTGAGATGAGTCGATTACCATATGCTTCTGCAGTTAGCTCGATCATGTATGCTATGAATTGTACTCGCCTTGATGTGGCCTTTGCTTTGAGCATGGTCAACATATATCAGGGGAATCGTGGAAAGGCTCAATGGACTATGAGAAAGAACATTCTCAAGTACCTGCGAAGGACTAAGGATTGTATTCTTACCCTTGGTAAAAGTGATGACTTGAGAGTAGTGAGGTATAGTGACGCTAACTTTCAGAATGATAGGGATAGTCTCTACTCTAATTCGGACTGGGTCTTTACCGTGGATGGATGAGCAATTACTTCTAAAAGTTCCAAACAGGACACAGTAGCTGATTCGACATGTGAGTCAGAGTACATTGCAATGAGTGAAGCGGCGAAAGAGGCGATATGACTGAGGAACTTCATCGGAGACCTTGGAGTTGTACCAGCCATAAAGGAGCCTATGGAGATTTTCTGTGACAACAATAGTGCAGTTGCCTTAGCCAAGGAACCGAGAGATCATGGCAGATCTAGACACATTAACATAAAATATCATTTCATAAAACATAAGATAGATGAAGGACTCCTCGTGACAAAGAGGATATTATCAGAAGAGAACCCAGTAGATCCCCTCACGAAGGGACTGACTAGGGCTAGCCATTTGCATCATATGAGGCGTATCAGGATGAAGGATGATATTAGTTTTACAAATTAGATAGCTATTTATGAAACTTGTAAAATGTAATTGACATTTGATGATTAAATAAAAGTTGTTGTTTATTTATAAGTAAGGTGTTGCTATCTTGTATCAATTGTTTGCTATTGTTTCAATTTTACATGTTTTTGGCTTCCACAATAATTACTTCATTTAAAATCTCCACAGTCAGTCATATGTTGGAAGAAGGTATGAATCAAGACTGTCATGAAGTTGCCTTGTAGATGTTCAAGGTGTTGGACATAACAAGAGTTGCTACAACATTTATGAGTGCTCATAAGTTCTAAGTATTGGATTAAACCCACGCTTACTTGTATCACTTCATGGAATTTATCTCGAGTGATCATGAGATGGTAATATCATATAAGTCTTAAAACCTAGAGATATGAGTTGTTGCATATGAGTTGGTTATGCATTGATTGTACGAAAATGCATCAGTATCTTGATGTCATAAAATGTGCCTTTGTGTATGATTTAACAAGTAGTAGAACAAGAATATGATTCGAAGTTTATTTGTTCCTTTTAGTCCTTAGAGGATTAAAAGCGATATTTGGACCCCTCGATGATTTTTTTTGACCTATGTGCCCGGCCCGGTCAGAACCAAACTGATGTATTCAGTTTAGTTCTATGTCAAACGAATCAGAAATCAGGAAACAAATTGCTGGAAAATAAGTACAACATTGTTCCAAGAATTTATCCGCCTGATATCTAGAGCAGAAGATTATATGACCACTTATCTAAAATGGCACTTCATAGTTCAACATAGTTTTAATAGTTACGATTACTGGTCGGTTCCTGAAGTCAAGCTTGCAACTATAGTTATTAGATTTATCCAAGTGGGATACTGTTGGATAAGGTGTCTAAGTCCATAACTATACTTGGGATGTACTTGACCCAACCCGGCATGGTCCATTTGGGTTACACTTCACCATAATAATTTGGATAGTCTTTTGAGAATAGTATACTTATGATTTGTTAATATATTATAAGTTATAATATATTAATATGAAATCATATGATTTAATTAGTATTGATCTAGAATTAATTTAGAGTTAATTTAGTGATCAAAAGGTAACTAATTAAATATGGACTCTTATATTTATATAGAGTGGGCCATGCTTACTTAGAATGGTCTAGGCTTGCATAGAAAGTCCATGGATAAGTCCATGGAGCTTTAACCCATGGATCTTATGGAAATGAAAGGTCATTGGTATTAGGGTTTACATGGATGTAACCCTAATCCACTACACTATATAAAGGGTTCATTAGGACATGAAATGGCACTAGTGTGTGTGAAAAGAAGAGTGGGCCGATTTCTAAGTGTGCATACTACTCTCTCTAGTTTTTCCAAGTTGTGTGGTGATTTGTGATTCCATTTGAGGCATCCTTATTATTGGTTCTAGGCTCCCAAACTCCAAGCAATCAACCACAAGCAAAAGGCATGTCATTCTACTATATTTATGTGACAAGTACCCCATGCCATGCTAGTTAGGATGAGAACCTTGTAAAATTCTTATTAGCATGTATTTTATAGAAAACACAGATCCAAGGTTTCTAGGATTGCATGTACACCATAGGAGTGTTAGAATGCTCAAAACCCATCAATTTATGTAGCATAAGATTTCGATGTGGTTATGAGATAACTAAACCGTTCCCATTATGACATAAAAGTTTCTGATAGTGATGAGCCTATGGTATATGTGTAAGGTGTGTTTATTTAGAGTTAATAAGAAATTATATAATGTTTATTGAATACTTCCGGACGGACCATTATCCATTTTACTTCATATTCTTTGTTTAGTTTACTAGACTCGTGACTTAGAAATTGCCTAAACGTTGGGGGTTATTAAACTCCTATCGACACTAGAGTCAAAAAGTACTGTAGCATATAAGTTCTTAATGAAAAACATACATGTAACAAAGGATAGGCCCTGGATTTCATCCCTTTCTCCAATCACAAATGCTCTGCCTCGAGGATTACATCCTTAATTCTTCAACTTCGGGCAGTCTCTTTAGAAATGCATAACTTCACCACACTTAAAACAAGTTTTTCCTCCACTAGCACCGATTTATGTGTGTGCTCCTTAGGTTGCTTCAACAAGTGCTTGGCTTCTACAAGGGCGGGCAGTGTGTCCCTTTTTGTTGCACTTGCTACAGGTGAAGTATTCACATGAGTGATGATAGTTGCAATTTTTCATATTGGTTGTTTTCCAACATACTATTGGTGCCATGTGAGTGTTGTTGTTGTAGCGGTAGCTGCATAAGATGTCACTACCTCCTACTTCTTCCCCGAGGATTGCCTTGCATTTCCCCTGTAATCTCTATAAGATTTACACTTATCATTTCCGGACCTTGGAGGGCCAGCTTTCGCAACCATGTTATCTTGCTAAATCTCATTGTTGGTCAAATGGAAGGCTATTCTATATGCATTATAATGGGTTTGTGGGTCTTGGAAATATGGCCATTCCATGAATCTATGGCACTAGAACCCAGATGTATCCTTGAACCTTCTTGTATTCCAGAGTGAAAAATCTCGGACATAGGAGGGCAAGGTCATTAAACTAGTAGTGTAAGAAAAATATTTTGAACCCTTCATGGTTAAGTTCCAAAGTTCCTTTCATCACAAAGACAATATTCCTCAATCAGCATCACCTTCAGTTCCTACCAAGTCATGGCTTTTGCAGTGCTAACGCCCATTATTTTTGTATAGTCATTCCACCATGTCAAGGTTGTATCGGAGAATGTGCAGGAAACAAAATGGACTTTTCAATCATCTAGACATAAGATTATTTGAAAAACAGATTCCATCTTTTCAATCTATCTTCTTAGACCTACTACTCCTTTGTTTTCGTAGAAGCTTTTCTGTATCTATTTCATGAAGTCTTTGTAAGTGGAAGTTCTTAGAGGTTCGTTGATTGGATACAAAGAAGAAAGAACAAGGAACAAAGTTATCACAAAGATATTTTCGCTAAGAAATGGTCCTTACAAAGAGAATCGAAATAAAGAGACGATTAGGGTTTCTAAAGAGAACAACCCGAGTACACAAATATATAGTAAACTAGAAAAAATGAATCTAACCTAAGTAAACAGATTAATCCTCACTACTATAAAAATAGCGTTTTACGATGCGCAAATTACGACGCTCATTAATATATGTTACGCAAACGAGAGTGACATTAAACAAGTGTCATCTCTTCAGAAAATTTAAGGATTTAGGTCACGCATTATTGCGTGCCTTTAAATTAGTGTGAAAAGAAAAAAAATTAAAAACACGGAGGGCGCTGTACCTTAAATGCGCGCCCTCTATATGTGTCGCTTTATAATTTTAATGAACGCGCGTTCCTTAGTTACAAGCGGGAAAAGAAAAGCCAAAAAATTAGAAAAGCCCGCTACCCTCCCTGCCCTAAGCATTTTCACGCATCTTTCATTCTCCTCACACTGTTGTGCAACTTCTCAATCAAAGATCGAAGGTTACGATTTCATCTCCATCTCTCGACTTCATCATCTCAATCAAGAAAAAGGGCTTCTGATTTCCATTCATCTACTTCATCGTTGTTGTAATTTCACCTTCTTCATCTCTCTGATGTTATTGAGAATACTCGCCAATAGTTTTCTTATTCCCCACTCGATGTTGAAATTTTCAGAAAAGCCCTAATTAAGTATTATAATCTCAAGTCTCAATATTAGAATCCAAATATTGATTCTTGTTTGTTTCTTATTCCCCACAAATAAATCGAAAAAGGGGAATTAGAATGACGAAGGTAGCGGGAGTTTTGGTCCGGTGGTCGTGGTTCATCTATCGAGAAAGGAAGATGGGAACGCAAGCAGCCATGGTGCCTCGATGATGGAAATCAATCGAGAAAGGGGAAGCACCTATGGTGCGGGATCGATTTGACAAAAGGAGAAGGAGAAGCAGCGACGCTTCTCTTGTCTGCCACAGCTTGGGGGGGAGGGGAGGTGCTCCGGCGGTCTCCTTGGCTGTTCTTCCTTGTCGCCAGCAGATCACATGTAGGGAGGGGACTCCTTCTCCACCAGGTTTTCTCTTATCTCTATCCTCCACCAGGTCTTCACTCTGAAAAACGCGATCGATCTCCCTACTTCGATTAGAAAACCCAAAAAAGTAGAAAACCCCACCTTGGAGATTTAGGGTTCATTCGCACCCAAAATTCTTTCGCACACCCAAAATTCTCAAACATCAAGATCTTTTTTGTCATCTCCCCTTTCATTCATTTTCCCGCTAACTTTCTCCTGCGAAAACACACCAAAGTAGAGGTTTTGGTGGCAAATAAGGATAAAAAACGGCGCATGAGAGAACTAAAAGGACTCTTATTGGTTGGAAAGACTAGCTGGAAAACACACAAGACTCTATAACCACTCCAGGGTTTAGAAACAGAGAGAAAGTTCTTGTAACTTGCTCACGTCTTACAGGTTACATGTTTTCTGATTTGTTCCCTTTATGCTACTAATTGTATCTAACCCTTTTTATTGTCCAGGGGAAAAACAAAGATTTTTTTATTTGTTCCCTTCGCATCAATTATAGGAATTTGATTATCCCCTCTCTTTGAACTGACGAACTCAACCTGGACCACCAATGCTCAGCCACCCCTGCATCCACCGCTACAAGATGAAGACTTGGACCTGAACCTGAACCCATTAGCATAAATCCTTCGTTTTGGAGATGGGCTAATTCATGTCTTCTATCTGCGTATTTTTTACTTGGTGATGATAAATTCGTACCCATCAATCTTCGTTCGTGGTCACCATCTGCAATGAACTGTTGAAACAAACATACTTGCTGAAATATATTTGCTAAAATCTCATGCTGAAATCTGAATTTGGGATATGATTTGAATATTTTTTTAAATCTATTTTCTTGAAATCTTTGTTCTATGTTAAATGTAAGTACTTGCTGAAATATACTTGTTGAAATATATTTGCTAAAATCTCATCAAGCTCTCTCATGCCAAAAATGCCCCTGTCCCATGCCATATAATTTTCAACTTTTTTTTGAAACATTTTTGTCAGTCTTGTTGCTTACTTGTTTTGTAATCATTTGAAGTATAATAAAAGTTTAGTTATAGTTAAATAATTGTTATAGTTAATGAATTTTTGATTCCATTCAAGAATTCCCCTTCTGATCATGCAGGTTTGAGAAACACGATGGGGTATGTCCTAATTGATGAGGGAATAGTTGATGAAGTTGATTATGTCCTAATTGATGAGGGAAGAAACCCATTGCTGATAAGTGGTGAGGTATGTCTTCTTACTTTGAGTGTTGTACGGATAAATGATGTTTAAAAAATATTTGGGAAAGTAAAAAAAGGAACTAGTTACTTAACAGCTTTGATATTTTGATCTGTATCTCATTCTCAGGCTAGCAAGGATGCTGCACGTTACACAGTTGCAGCTAAAGTAGCTGAGCTTCTCATGCGTGGCCTCGTATTTTACTTTTTTGCCCTTCTTTTTCCTTTTTGATGTCTTGTTATCCATATCCATTGTATGAGTATCTCATTGTTTGTTTCACTACACATCATTACAATATACAGCTTAAGGATAATTCAGTGGAGTTGATAGAAGAAGGAATAGCCCTAGCTGAGATGGCTCTAGAAACAAAAGATCTATGGGACGGGAATGATCCTTGGGCTAGGTAACTTTAATTTTCCATCCACCAGGTTGTAAATTAATGATAACGAGATTGATGAGTAGAACACCCATATCAAACATCCATACTTGACCAACAAAGGTTTGTATCTCAACTTGTATTTCTCTTGGACTTTGTAGGCTGATTCAGTTGTAGTGGCACAAATCACGTACCAATCAATGTTTAAGCTCTATCCAAAGCTTTTCTTTACACCCCTAATTACTTTCCTGAAGTCAAATTGGTGTGTTTGTTACTGTAGCTAATACTGGAAACTATCATTGCTGAAACATCAGTGACAATACCTGGAATTAAGTATGTGATTGATCCTGGATGGGTAAAAGTGAGGAGTTACTCTCCTGATAGTGGCATTGAGTCTCTAACTGTTCTTACAACTTCAAAAGCTCAAGCTCTTCAAAGGAGGTAAGCACATTGATTTCACATCTACATATACAGGGACCAAATATAAAGCCATGTTTACTTCATTAAACTAAGTGTCAAGTCAAACATTGCATTTTATTTTGAGATGGCAGAGAATATAATAAAATAAGATGGAAATGTGATTGAACTTTAATTTTTTTCTAATGATGCAGTGGGCGTGCAAGGCGTGAAGGAGCTGGGAAATACTTCTGTCTTTATCCAGAGAGCAGATTTGAGGGACATGATGATTCCACAATGCCAGAGATCAAAAGAGGCAACCTTTCTAATGTTATTTTGTAGCTTAGTGCTCTTGGTGTTGATGATATACTTGGATTTGACTTCATGGAGAAACCCGATAGGTATGCTATATTTTTTCTATTAAAGTAGGTTCATGAACAAGTGAAAGTACATACTAGTATTGTTTTATTCAGTTAAGTTACCTTTAGCACCAAGCAATATTGTTCCTCTGTTTTGCTTATTTGGTCCCAGAGATCAAAAGAGGCAACCTTATGTAGGAACTGTTGAACCGCATGGGTCAGTTGGGGCAGTGGTCGGGCGGCAGGCAATTGCCCAGGGTAGTCTCGGAATCTTAGCTTTAGAGAAGATAGACGCACCCAGGTAATAACTAGACTTACTTTTTTGTTTTTTCTTCAATTCCTATCCTTCAACCTTAGACATCATGCTTTCAAATTTATTCATATAGATTTGGTCTTAAAAAACTATTTTGCGCCTAATCTTATATTTGGTGTTAATCTGTTGTCATTTATTTATGCTTTAAGTATTAATACCATAAAAGTTGGCCCTACCCTTCCCCTCAAAAGGAAACCACCGTTGTGATTTGTGGGGCAAAATAGTTTTTTTTTTTTTATTTTCAAAACCCAAAACAAAATGAAACAACTGGGACCAAATAAGCAAATATACAACAATAATATTTTTTGGACCAAACCTTTAACAAATGGAAAAGCACAAGGACCAACCTGTAATTTACTCATAAATTTTTTTTTTTTTTTTTTTTTTTTTTTTTTTTTGCAGCAAATTTACCACGGAGACTATATCCGGTCTGAGTGAAAAATAGAGAAGACAGTTATGGATAGCGAACCAGAGTGCAACTATGATGCTTGTAAAGGTAATGAGTAGTTGTATGCATTTGGAATTTGCTGAAGCTCTCTTTCGATATACTGCTCCAGAAGAAGTACTTTTTTTTGGAGTTATTGTTGGTTTACCTCTCCTACTTGAATATGAAGTTACTTCCATGGCTTGACAAAGTTACATTGTTTGATTAATTTGTATTCAGATTAAAGTAAATTAGGTTTGCTGAGATTGATCCCCTGTTAATTGCACCTTGAAAACTAAATAAAGAACAATATTAGAAATTATGCAAAGGGTATTTTAGGTTATATGATTAGAGAGTACCATGTATTCACAACACATTAAGTGAAGCTCCAAAAGTTACAGCAACTAGGAGGAAAATGATAAATAATGATCTTTTCAATTACTAAGTTGTTAAGAATTATCAATATTATAAATGATAAAGATAACCAAGAAAACATATATTATTGATATGGTTATAATTCATCTTTTTCCTAGTTTATGCAGTAAAGTTGTTTTTGAAAATTTGAAGTTTGTTGTTGCAGCTAAGGAGTATGTGGGACAAAATTTGCAATTTTTCAGACTGAATAAGACTACTACTACATTACATGACCATGACCATGACCATGACCATTTAATAAGTCTAAGGCAGGATATTTATTCAGACTATATTGATATATTTCCAGACTCAAATATGTGAAAAGTTAATAAGTCTAAGACAGGATTTTTGCTTATATTTCAAATCTAATATCTAAATTTGTAATATTATGTTATATACTATATTGATATTAACCAATTATATATATTTAAAAATACTTTTTATGTTTCAGGTTTATGGTCCTGAAGCAGCTATATGGAGTGATGGTGTGATTCTTTACATTCTTCTTTGTGGTGTAACACCGAAAATTTTCAAAACAAAATTTTCAATTTTTATAAAACATAATTCCATTGATATTCATTAAACAACCATTCTAATTATCCAAACAAGACAATACAAAATCCCAAGATCATGATATCAAGCTCCGAATGTGTGTGTGTACGGATCAAGCCGGCGCCTTCCCGCGGTCGTCACTAGTACCTGAAACAATAACATCAACATTGTAAGCACAAGGCTTAGTGAGTTCCCCAAAATACTACATATAACACATATTAGCCACTCGAGGCTATAACTCTGTGGGTCCGTGCACCCAAACTCTGTGAACCCTCGGGTTCTAACTCTGTGAACCTTCCGGTTCTAACTCTGTAAACATGCATAGCATCAAACACATAGAAGTAATGCAGTACAACACATAACATACATAGCATACAAATACTCTATCACATAACTCTGGTTACCTACTCAAGGTAAAGTATAGTGAGAAGACTCACCTCGCGTGTCTCGGTAAATCGTAAACCTGAAATCGCTAATCACTCGACCTGTCGAGCTGTCGTCCCCCTATAGCACAATACACCTCTAATTAACACTTTCCCCACTGGGGTTGACCACACTATAACAAGTCAATCTAGGTCAACACTGGTCAACGGTCAACGGTCAACTTTTGACCGGACTCGGCGAGTACCCAGGCGACTCGGCGAGTCTGGGCGTGTACACCAATTTCCCTGGAATCCTCCCTTGACACGTCGAGCATTCCCTCAACTCGACGAGTTCCACCTGGCACGAGTTGTGGGGCCACCACAACTCAACTCGCCGAGTCTCAAGAACAACTCGGCGAGTCCAGCTAGACTCAGTCCACCTGTCCATTCTGACTCCCCCTTGACTCACTGAGTCCACCTTTCCCAACTCGGCGAAGCCACTCACAGAGTGGTCGGGCAACATTCATGCTACTCGCCGAGTCTTTTCTTCGGACTCGGTGAGTCCATGCCATGCACTGACTCAATCTTGCTCTAAAGGTCAGATCCAGTTCATTAATCCATAGATCCAGTCCCTCCAAGCTCATTTAGCACGTAAAGTTACAATCTTGATGCACATACAACCTTTATATGACCATATATGATGTTTATGACTCAAATACTACAACACAAGGCCAAAGACTCTATTGTCACTCATAAAGCTTGATGAGTGAGGCTCTCTGGACCTCTATGGATCCAGATCATAGCCTCAACTCAAAGAGGGAACCAATGGGCATCAAATCATCCCATAAATGACCACCACAAGCCCTAAATTGCATCATGCTTCACTAAACAGAAAATGGTCCGAGATAATTGTTGGGTTTTAGCCATAAGAACTTTCCTATGTGCGCATGCAAAACCCTATTGCTTGGATCTAGGCTTTCTATCAAACATGCTTTTGAATCCAAGACTTCTAATGGCTAATTAGGTTAAACAATAACATTAATACAGATCTAGAATCATACCTTTGAGTTCCTTGTTGATCTTCTTGTCTTGGAGCTTCTAGAGTCACAATTGTCACTCCTCTAACGGCTTACAAACACCAATAGCAAGCAAGATGATTTAGGAGAGAGGAGAGGGGATGGAATTCGGCCAGAGGTTCCTTGCTTTAGGTTCTGAAAGGTTGTACACGAATTCCACATCCCAAGGGCCTATTTATACCCTTAGACTCCTTAAGGGTTTCACCCTAAACCCTAATTGGATAATCTTCACTTAAGGCTATCCAAATCCATTCCATAGATATCCTTATGGACTATTTTGAGCTATCCTAAAGCTCTTAGAAACCGTCCAAAGTCCATCCTAATGGTTTTATAGTCTAAAGTCTAACTATCAAACAATTGACAGTTTATACCGTCTTATTTAATTAATCTCTTTAAGTCACCAAATTAATACCAATTAATTTATGACTTATATTAATCAAATAGCTAAATATTATTCCTTATAATATTTACTCTCTCTTAACAAATCATCCTTCAAGTTGCTATGGTGAAGGCAACCCAAAAGGACCATGCACCACCGAATATAGTTATAGCCTTAGACACTATTCCAACAGTCTCCCACTTGGATAAGTCTAGTAACTATACAAGTATAATACGGTTTGCAATCGTAGCTCTCAAAGACGCTGTCAACTCTGATCTAATCAATCTTGTCCTTTAGATAAGGGATCGTACAGTCCTCTGTTAGATATCATGCTGACAATCCTATGGAATGGTTAGTCTAGCATTTAGATTTCTCGATCTTCGATTTATTTGACATAGAACTTAATCGAACACATCAATTCAGTTCTGACCGGGCCCGGCACATAAGTCAAATCAAATCATCGAGTGGCCAAGATATCTCTTCTACCCTCTTAGGATAAAATTTACAGATAAACTTCGACTTATATGCATTTACTTATTCATTAACCAACTATACACAACAATGCGTTTTATAACATCAAGTTACTGATGCGTTTTCGCATTATCAATGCACAATCAATTAACAAATAATAAACCATATATCTAGGTTTTAAGACCATATGATATTATCGTCTTGCGATCACCTTTTATATCGTATTCCATAAGGTGATTCCAGCAAGCGCGGGTTTATTCCAATGCTCAAAACCAGTTCGTAAGCACTCATGAACGTTGCAGCAACTCTTGCTATGTCTAACACCATTTAGACACTCTACACACCAATTCACGACAATCTTCATTCATATCTACTCCCAACATATGAACGATTGTGGACCATTTGAATAATTCGATTATTCCTAATAAACTCAATTATTCTGGAAGTCAAAACATGCAAAGTGAAACAATAGTTAAACAACTAACATGTGATAGTAACTTTACTCATAAATAAAACTTCTTTATTTAATCATCAAATGTTAATTACATTTATCTATTATACGTTTCTAATATAATCTAATCTATGCTAATATCATCCTTCAGCCCAATACTCCTAGCATGCTGTAAGTGCTTAACCCTACTCAGTCCCTTCGTAAGCGGATCTGCTGGGTTATCTTCTGATGATATCCTCTTCACTACGAGTTGTCCTTCTTCTACACGATGTCTAATGAAGTGATATTTTCTGTCGATATGTCGAGATCTACCATGATCCCTCGGTTCCTTGGTCAAGGCAACCGCACCTTCGTTATCACAGAAAATCTCCATGGGCTCCTTTATGGCCGGTACAACTCCAAGATCACCGATGAAGTTCTTCAGCCATATTGCCTCCTTCGACGCTTCGCTCGCTGCGATGTACTCTGATTCGCACGTTGAATCAGCTACGGTTTCCTGCTTGGAACTTTTCCATGTCACTGCTCCTCCATTTAGGGTAAAGACCCAGCCCGACTGCGAACGATAGTTGTCCCTGTCGGTTTGAAAGCTGGCGTCACTATACCCTCGCACCTTCAAGTCATCACTCCCTCCAAGGACTAAGAACCATTCTTTCGTCTCCGAAGGTACTTAAGGATGTTCTTCACCGCAATCCAATGTGCTTTGCCAGGGTTCCCTTGATATCTGCTAACCATGCTCAAAGCGAAGGCTACATCAGGGCGAGTACAAGTCATAGCGTACATGATTGAGCCAACTGCGGAAGCGTATGGTACTCGGCTCATTTCTGCTATCTCGGCTTCGGTACTCGGACTTTGAGTCTTACTCAACTTGGCATTTCCTTGTATCGGTAGTTCTCCCTTCTTTGAGTTTTCCATACTAAAACGTTTTAGTACCTTCTCCAAGTAAGTATTCTGACTAAGTCCAATTAGTCTCTTACTTCTTTCTCTTACTATCCTTATTCCCAAAATGTAAGAAGCCTCTCCGAGGTCCTTCATAGCGAAGCACTTCCCGAGCCAGGACTTAACCTCCTGCAGAGTCGGGATGTCGTTTCCTATGAGTAATATGTCATCGACATATAGAACGAGGAAGCTTACTACACTCCCACTGGCTTTGACATATACACAAGATTCGTCTTCGCTTCGTACAAATCCAAACTCTTTGACTTTCTCATCGAAGCAAAGATTCCATCTGCGAGACGCTTGCTTAAGTCCATAAATGGACTTCTCAAGCTTACACACTCTATTCGGATGCTTCGGATCCACAAACCCCTCTGGCTGAGCCATGTAAACATCCTCAGCCAACTTTCCGTTAAGGAAAGCGGTCTTGACATCCATTTGCCAAATCTCATAATCATGAAATGCGGCAATTGCTAGCATCACTCTAATAG